CCCCAAAACCCCAAAACCCCAAAACCCCAAAACCCCTTTTTATTTATAATTTATTGAGCCAAATCTTTCATGGAAACTTTAGACTTATCAAAGACTATATTTACCAAAATTGGGATTACGAATGAGATTTTACCATTTTATGGATATGCCGAGCAATGCAGACAGCTGATGACCCAGCTCAGAAGTGAGTCAAGGAAACTCTGGAACGATGATATTGAGAAATGGTTTAAGAACCTGTCCCAGGTCAAGAGGGAAATTCATGTTGATAATAAAGGTAACTTCTAATGAGATTGTTGTTTATGGCTTGCTTAAGTAATTCCTAAATATCAGTCATGAAGCATTAATACGACTTTCTGGCTTCCATGATGGTTAAGCTTGATTAGTAGGATATTTCTTAAAACAAAATCTTTGGCAAAGAGCTTATCTGAGCCAAAATAAAAATTTGAACTGTATCTTATTACGAAGAAAGTGTTGAGATGATTCTAAAGTTTTAATATTTAATTTAGAAGTGCTTGAGTATCTTGACCAGCATTACAGATATGCCATGTTTAAAATTGTACTGACGTTTAACAAGATGAGTGATGTTACAAGGTTTTATGACTTCTTGGCAAATTCTAAGGTGAGCACTAATTTCTGGCGTTTCTTTGCTTCTAATTGTTATGGCTATTCTCCACATTAGTCACATATTTCAATAGTCTTTTCAAAAATTTCTGTATAAAATATTTATCGATATAGGAGGGAAGTATCTCTAAAGCGAAATTTCTCGAAATCACTCAGGTAAAACTTCCTGTAACCACTTAAGGTCATTCTCCCAAAATTCAAGAAGAAATATGTAATGGAAGAGTTCATCACAACTTTCCTCGAGTAATCTCCCTACTAACCATATAGATGCATCGGTAAGGACTGCCTAAAATCCGCCTATCACCTCTAAAACCCCCAACCCTTCTACCTAACTTTCCTTGTAGGCCAAAGCCACTTATCCAGCTCCCTAATCCAGGAGGACTGGTTGACGACCAAAATCCTGAAGCTTCCTTCTCTGTTCAGGTTTCAGGAAGAAGCTTTTACTATTAAATAAGCAAGAAGAGGAAGACCTGATCTGTATTGGTAGGGTTCTTCGTGACTGGGTTTAGATAGCAGGATTACTCAGATGCCTACTGGTTTTAACAAAAAATCAGATAGGAAGGAGATCTTATCAAAGCAGTATAAGAATGTGTGTTATATCACTCTTAAGGAAAACTGTATAAATGATTTTAAGAAAATTCCCCCTCTTAGTGAAGATCAGAATAGGAATCTGAAGATTGTCGAAATTATTTTCCCATCAAATAATGAAAATAGTGCTCCAGAATCAGGCCTCATTGAAGTAATAGAATCAGTCAACTCCAAAATGCCCTACCTACCCCACCTCCTCTTCTCCTGCTCCACTATCAGTATTTCCCCTTCTAACTTTAGCCTTGGTTCCTATCCAGACCCTCATTCTTCTCAAACAGTTCAAAGCCAGTGTCTCTACTTGTCTGCTTAACAGAGAAGGTTCTTCCCAAGGTAAGGTTTCAGGTGTTAAGAATCATTTTTGGGTGAAGAAAGCGGTTTTGGTGACAGTGCAGGATGATGAGGTGAAGACTGTGTCTTTTAGAGATTGTGGGTTTAATGTGGGACGTGCGACTCAGGTGAAAATGGTAGGAGGCGGCTTTGTCTATGTGAGTATTGCAGATCAGGTTTATGGTGAAGTGATTAAGGAAGAGGAGGAGCCTATTGGGATTGATGTAAAGAAGGTTTTTCAGGAGAATAAACAGATTCAGAAGTTTTCTCCATATCCTTTAGACTCTATTACCTCTTATGGCATTCTTTTCAAAGTTGAAGACCTTGTAAAGATGCGTATCCCTGATCCTGTAATTTTGAAAAATATTCATGATGACGAACTTATTAAAAATATTTGATCTGCAGACTGTAATAATCTTTTAAAGGAGCAGCAGCCATGGACAATTTTATCTCCTCCAACAGAAACAAACACCCAAATTATCCCAAAAGATTGTTCAGTGGAGATAGATATTGGCTCAAGTTTGTTGGTAAAGAGCTTGGATGGGTTCTTTAACTTGCTAGCAAGTGAATACTCGCACCTCAGAATTGACTCATTGAACTGCTTTTATTATTTAGATAAGGAAAGAATTCAGTCTTTAGACAACTTACTTAAGGCTCATGAGGGTTCTAGTACAGTAAATCAGAACGAAAGGTACGCGATTTATTTTGAAACCTCTTTTATGGTATAGATATATCAATAAGGTCAATCTCAAAGTTGCCTTTGAAGAAGATCTTGATGAGCTTCTAGAAGTTCTTGGTAAATATCCTATCCTCGATATTAATATTACATATGACGGTGAGGTTACAGATGATATTTTGAAGAAATGTAAGCAATTTATGGTGAAATTCTTCAACAGAAATGTTGTATTATATGCAGATGAAAAAGATCTCCTTACGCCATTAAAACACTTCAAACCAATCACTACTGAGGAATACGAGTTTGATTTTGAAGAGGATGAAGAATAAACTGTAAAGAATAAAGAAGTTTCCAATAAGATTCAATATAATCCTCTCTAAATGGGGTTTTGGGGTTTTGGGGTTTTGGGGTTTTGGGG